TAGTTAATGAACGAGTGACACATGACTGCCGCCCTCTACTACCATTTATCACAACAGATGGACGCTTTCCGAACCTACAAAGCTGTTGGCCGATTGTAACCTGGGCCGCACAGCAACCGCACCTGGCGAAGATTGACCTAAAGAAAGCGTTCCACTCCATACCACTTGCCAACGACCAGATCGGGGCATACGCATTTGAACTAGAAGGCAACTACTATGCTTATATGACGATGCCGATGGGCGCCACAAACGCCCCCAAGCACTTTCACCAAGTTATGGGCATCATACTAAGCAAACTACCGTTTTCACATGACATAAGATACTACCAGGACGACATATTCGTCGCCGCAACTGATGCTAAGCAACTCAAACAGCGATATCAAAGAACTATAGATTACTTAATGTCACAGAACTTCCAGATCAACTATGACAAATCGCAACTTCAGTGTACCGACTTACTCGGGTATACGCTGAAGAATCATACACTATCCATCCCAGACCAAAAATGGAAGCGCATTAACGAACTTCTACACTCAAACAACCTACAACTCATTCAAAGAGCCGCTCAGACTCTGGCCTACTATAAACACACCCTCAACAGCAATCAACAACTGACTATTCAGAAGCTGCTAACGAACAAAGTCAAAGATTCAGAGATACTATCTATCTATTCCAAGGCGTTATCCTCGAAACCGCAAATGACTTTCACCACTTCAGCGGGCGAACCGCTTAAACTCTATCTTGACACATCTAACCAAGCCGCAGGACTAGTCCTGAAGCAAGCCAATAACACTCTACTTAGTGCATCTATACCGCTACCAGCAGTCCACAACTATGCCAATACCAATGAAGCGCAAGGCGCATATATGTTAATCAAAAGATACTTAAGTCAAATCAAAGACTACGTTTATACAGCTAAATCCGAGCTACAGGTATTCTCAGACAACATGCTGCTAGCCAAGGCCCTGGCGGGCCTATCTAAAATAACTCTAGGATCCGAAACCCAATACTATGCGCGCAAGATCAAAATACTTATCGCCACAATCAAAGACACTCGCACGACTTACAACTATATACAAGGCAAATTAAACCCAGCAGATAAACCATCACGCCGCACGCATAAGACACAAGACACCAAATGGAAAGCAACACGACAATCGAACAAACATTTAGCCGCAAAAATATTCGCACACGGCACCCGATCAAATTTTTATCATCTTTTTCCTAAGACAAACGATAAAATCAAAGTCGACTATAAAGAAAGAAATTTTCAAAGATGACCCTGGTCGGTGCTAATTACAGATCAATTATCTCCCACATCGCCGAAGCCATTACCGCCTCGACAGACGCCGCTACAAAAGTTAATCTACAGCTCCGCTCTCATGTTTATGAAGCCCTTAAACAATCGGGCAATTATGAGGCGTTTACAGAACGCCTCTCGTGGATGATGACGAACAACCACCTTATGCCCGAGAGGTCGCGAACCTATATGCTCTTGTTGCCAAGGCAGGAATCCCACGAGGCATGGCTCTGTTCCAGAACGGCGCCACAGCTCGCATTGGACCATCGATGCGTGGCAGAGGCAGAGGCAGTACCGGTCTGACTCGTCAGTTGGGTTTAGAGGAGGTTGGCGCTGGTGCCATCAGAGGTTTGTTTACCAGGAAGCAAGTGCATTGGCGACGTTGGCTACCAGAGACGTCGGGTGAGCACTGTGCTTGAACTCCTGCGAGGAGCTAAAGGGCGATGATACCGGGGGTACCGGACATGATTGCGCTAGGCATCTTCGATGCGTGTAAGTGTCAGTTCCATCTGGAAAGCTGTTAAAAGGTTAATGTGGTTCACTGGTGGAGGAGGAGAAGTCAGGCGAGGACTTGTTGGCAAGTGCACAGCAGCTAATAACGGGTCTGACGTCCCATCTAGACGTTTGCGTCAGGGAGGCCTGGGAACGTGTTGCAGAAACACCCGAAGTGTTGACCACGGCCAAGGACTGGCAGAACACGGCATAGCGTAGAGTTCGAAGTATATGGAAAGCCGGTGAAGCACACGTTGAGGCCGCTAAGACCCCAGTTGCGAGGGGAACTAAGTAAACAGCAGGTTCATTGTGAGCGAGGAAGGCATCAAGTTGGCTCCGAAGGAGGCCGACCTCATGAGAGTGCAAGCGCCGTGCAATGTAAGGGAGCTGAGGGCATTCTGTAACCTACCTCAAGAGAAACATTCCTCAGTTCGCTAAAAGAGTCGCTGGCATGACCTATCGGGGGTGTGTACCTATCGAATTTGGTAGCAGAAAGCTGGACGAGTGCCGACAGCGATGGGACACACGAGAAAGGGAGTTGTACGCCGTGAGGTTCTTCGTGGCAAGGTGGCAGGACTACTTGTGTGCTGCATCGTTTGTCATCAGGACTGACCATCAGAACCTGTTGTAGTTGGCCAATTCTACTAAAGGAAAGCTAGCAAGGTGGTCGTTGTTCCTCCAGCAGTTCGACTTTAAGATAGAGTACTTGAAGGGTACCGAGAATGTGGTGGCGAGCACTATTGCCGTTGGCCTTGTGTTTGGCATCGCTGTTGATGGCTACGATGTCAAACGAGTTGTGTCAAAAACATGTATAGAGATTAAAAAAAAGAGATTTTTTTGAGATCGTTATGCTCCTGTCTCGGAAGGAATTTGGAGCTATGCCCCGGAAGGTGTTCTGTCTAGACTTTCACGCGTTTCGGGGTCGTTTGCCTCCAGTGATTCCGAGTGTTTGTGCGGCGGTCTCGTCCTCGAGGTTCTGCGAGTACTGATGTATTATGGATTCGAGTTGGGGGTCCTCACTTCGCTCAAACCTCCTCACCTTGCCCTGGTGCACCTGGAACGTTGAGCCTGGCTGGCCGTACCTTTCCACCTCTACTTGCATGCGGGTTGTGTTGACCACCCCATTGGGAGTGACCATTTGAGCGCGAACCACCTTTCTCCGGTCCGTTGAGGGGCGATGCTACGGAGCCTGGATCGACGAACACCACAACGATACCTTCTGGTTGTAGGTCGGTCGGTGTGTCTTCCTCTAATGGTCGGCTTCTGAGGAGGGACTCGGCCATTCGCTCTCGGAGCATTCATTGTTGCACTTGCTTGCGTTCTTGCGCTGAGCTCAGAGGCCTGCATTTTGTCCAGGACGGGGAGTTTGCCGAACACTGCCCCGTACGAGGATGTGTTTATCGCAGAGTGGGGCGTTACGCTGTGCAGGCGGGTGGCTGCATCCACCATTAGTTCCATGTCTCCGTTCAACACTCACTGCAGTACCGTATCTCGTCTGCCAGCCGGTATTTCTTGTCACACGCCTTCTTGTCGTATAGCCTTGAGTACGTTGAGTAGTTTTTGGTGAGAGGCCTCATTGACGCCGTTTCCTTGTGGCCGGAACGGCGCAGCGGTCAAGTGCTTACATCCCAGCGGGTACGCTGCCTTTGCGCGGAAGGCCCCTCGGAAGCTGGTGCCGTTGTCCGTCAGTACTATTCGTGGTGGCCCGAACGGGACTACCCAGTGCCGGTAGAAGGTCCTGAAGATCTGCATGGCGTCCAACGTCGGAACGATTTTAGCCATCATATACCGGGTCGCGTGGTCCATGATGATGAAGAGGATATTCCAGTCAGCGCCTCCCGCGTATATTGGTCCCGCGTGGTCGAGTGATACGACGTCCACAGCGGTAGCCTTTCCCAGCGTCCCTGTCGGTAGTCCTTGCCGGTGCACCGGTAGTGTCTTCAGTTGTCTACAGTCTCGCGCAGATGAGGCACTCTCTGATCATTTTTTCGATGTCCTGAGCGCAGCTGGGCCAATAGTATAGGGCCTGGACCCTCTTGCGTGCCTTGCCGACTCCCAGGTGGCCGCGGACAGAAGTGGAACGAAATGACCAGCCGCGTGCGCAGCTGGCGAGGGACGTAAATCTTCTTTGTCCTGAGATCGATCCACCACAGGCCGTTGTAGTGGAGACCTGGTAGGTTGGTCGCCGGCAAATGCGACAGTAAGTCGTAGTCGCTTAGTGCGAGGACCCATCCCAAGACCTTGCCCTTGTCCACGCTGGTGAGGTACCCGTAGGTTGTTGTGGTCTGTCCTGGCTGTGAAGTGCGAGAGGCTGACGTAGTCTCGCCACTTCTCGATGGCCCACTTGACCGCGAACAATTCCCGTTCTCTCGTGTCCCAGCGCGACTCCGTGGGGTTGAACTTCTTGCTAGCGAACTCGACGGGCACCTGTTTGAGTACAGCCCCGACCCCTGACTCGGTCGCGTCGGTCTCTATGTGCACGTCCCGCCACTCGTAGGTCCTGTCCTTCTTCAGCAGCTCGAACAGCGGCGCCGTGATGTGTGAGAACTCGGGAATGGAGGGCCTCAGATAGCCGCACATCCCCAAGAAGCTTTGTAGCTCCTTCTTGCTGGTGGGGGCCGGTGCGTTGACGATTGCTCGAGACTTCTTCTCCTGGGCCCATCCGGCCGACGACGTGCCCGAGGTAATTCACTTCATCCTCGAACCATTCGCTCTTGTCCAGGCGCAAGTAGAAGGAACGGATCTTCCTACACTGTTCTAGGAAGCCCGCCGCAGTACGCTGTCGATGTCCTGTCCGCAAATGACGATGTCGTCAATGTAGCAGAACGCATTCTCTCCCAGCAGCGGTGCGAAGCAGGAATCGATGGCGCGTTGGAACTCAGCGGGCGAGTTTTTGATGCCGAATGGGACGACATTGAACTCGAAAAGGCCAATCCGAGTTATAAAGGCGGTGAGCGCCTTGCACCCTCCTCGATTGGCACGTTCCAGAACCCTGAGCACGTTCTGGCACGTTCATGTCTAGAGTGCAGTAGTCTCTCTGTCCCGCCGCCCGTCGTCTCTCTGTCCGGCCGCCCGTCGTAGGTGGTCCCAGATGCGTGGAAGGGGGTAGGAGTCTGCTACCATGGCCGCGTTGAGCCTGCGGTAGTCGATAACGCGCCTCCATTCTCCGGTTTTCTTCTTAACAAAGTGAGGAGGGGCAGCCCACTCGCTCTTTGAGGGTCGGATGACTCCTAGCTCCAGTTGCTTCGCGACTTGCTTCTTCAACTCCTCCAACATTTCGGGTTCGTAGTGGCGGACCCCGGCCTTGTGCGGGCGTCCTGAGACCTCGAACCGTGCTTCGTACTTGACCTGCGCCACCCCGGGGTCTTCCCACGTGTCCTTGAATTCCTCCAGGAGCTCCCACAGCCGCTCGCGGTGCTCGCCGTCCATGTGCAGTGTGTTTTGCTCAAAGAGCCGTTTCTGCACCTCGCGTGGTTCGTCTCCACCGCGAGTGTCGTAGCGTTCGCCTCCACCGCGAGTGTCGTAGCCCCCCTTGCCGGGTCCAAGGGCGGGGTCTCCCTGTACTTCGGGGCGGACGGTCTTAACTCGTCGACGTATCCCCTTTTGGCGCACAGGGCCATTCCGGTAAGGACTTGGAGCCGTCCTTGCGACGTTTTGTGTCACACAGTGGACGGGCTTTCCGTATGCGTCCTGGTTGTACGTAGTACGGCACACCCTCCTCCAGTGCCCCATTCAACCGCAGTTGTCACAGCGTGAGTTGCGTGCTGGGCATCCCTCTCATTCTCCGTGGCGGGGGAGTTCGCGGTTGTAGCAGAGCCGCTTCGTTCTTATTTGTTGTGGGGAGAGAACGCCGTCGATGTCGCCTTCTGGCTGCTCTTGGGCCCTCTCCCCCGTCGCGACGACGGCCACCACCGGCGTCCCTTGCCAGTTGTAGTGGTTGGTTATCTTCTGGAGGACGTCAATGAGGCTCGTCCCCGTGCCATGTTTACAAACCAGGTCCTCCTCTGCGGAGACGCCACGTCAAGGATGCGCCGCTCCAGGAATGCGTGATATGGTCTCTGTGACACCCCAGGAGTGAACAAGTCTCACGTAGCGCGTTATTCGTTTGTTGAGCAGTTCCCTGAGCCGTGGGAAGTCTCCGAGTTGGATGGTCGCAATCGCCATGTGCATGTTGGCGACGTAGTTGCTGATTGGGAGCATTCTCGTGGCAACGTCTGCGTAGAAGTATTCGACCTTGGTGCCCGGGCCTCTGGGATTCTGTTTCACAGTGGTTGAATCATGGCGGTTTCTTCCATGTTGAATGCTGCATGTCGGACTGCGGCCGCTACGGAGTCGACCCAGTCTTCGAATCGCTC